TGTCACGTTTTTAGCTATCTTATAGCTTTTTACCTTTTTTTCTTTTTTGTAGGGCTTAGCAAATTATGTGTTATGCGTTTATTGCTAATTTTTATATATCTATTAAGTTGTTTTAAAATGGAATAACATTATTAGCTAGAATAGAATAATATTATTACCTGTAATTACTATAGTTCTCATTTATACACGTTCGTATTTTGAACGAGTTCTTAGGTCCTCGCCGAAATTGATTGATTGATTGACTGACTGATTGATTGATTGATTGATTGATTGATTGATTGATTGATTGATTGATCGATCGATTGAACAGACATCTGCATTTTTTCATTAATGCCAGCTATCGACGCAGCAACACGGCGTAAAGACTTCCTCCGTTAACATATAGTGTTGCTCTTGATTACTAATACAAGATGACATAAAGAAACTGCCATAAAAACCATGTCATTTTAAACTTCAAACCTTGAATTGCTGGAAACCGGCTGAAGCAGAGTGAGCTGTTTATTCTCCACAGTCCAAGAACGCGGTGCGAATTTTTCAATTCTTTCCTCCCACAATGAAACACAGAGTCCTTTCTCGTTCCATTTATAGAAATGTTATTGCTTTCAGCTGTCAAATGACGTATTGTTCTAGGAAATCCGTTCAGTAAAAGCGAAGGAAAAATATTTAAAAGAACGCACTGAAAGCTAATTAGGGCCGAAGTTATTACACCTACAACTGCTGGAAATAAACAATGGAACTGTGGAACAGCACTTATTTTTTAATACTATTTTGTTTAGCTAAATAGCAAATCATTCGGCTTAGAGAAGTCTTCGTTACTTTTATCTTTCACTGAAAATGTTAACCTAAGGAAACAGGTCAGGAAAAGGGGAGAGAAATAATAATATTTAAGAGCATCTACAGCAGAGCAGTAATACTAAAAGATTTATAACACCCACAAGTAATATGACAGCCTTTACTTTATTCAGCCAATGAGAACTTTTATATATCCTGCACAAACTGAAAACCAATCAGGAATTACTCTACATGTTAGAAACAGTAAGTGACGTCATCGGAAGGAATTATAACCTCAAACTTCAGGCGTCTCTCCCGCGGGGATTAAGCTGAGGGCGGGAGATGACTGACGTTTCAGGCTATTTTCGGCCTTGTTTGTAAATCAGCGTCATATGTCCCTTGTAAAATATCAGCTGCTATTTTGCTGAAGGAAGCAATTAAAGACGGTGGAAGAAAAGAGAGAGGAAAAGGAAGCGCCAAGATCCTCGGAATACCGGCAGATGCAGCTCCAGTCTGTACGACAGAGGGGACGAAATGGGCCCTGATCTTACCTGAATTTTTGCTCAATCGAGGCAACGCTTCCTCAAACGAAGGCTTAAAAATACCAGTACGTTAAGTTTTGCAGAGAGTATTTTTTATTATTCCTGCCATCGTGGACATAGCATTGAAGGGAAGGTCCTGCAGTGTAGGCGGCTTATTAGCTATTTAAAGGTAAGTCACAAATTTATGTCAGTTTTTGTTTGTCTGTCACGTTATTGATCATAAATGTCTTAGTGCCTTGACTATTTTTGGATGAAGTATAAGAGAGTTAAAGGGCCCTGGTCAGCCACAGCGGGTTGTTTTTGTTTACATGCGAGAGTTTGGCTATTATATTTTATTCGGAGCATTTCGAAACGAAAGAAATCATTGTGGAACTAGTACTAAAGATAATTATGACATACTTTCAGGAACACAACTTACAGTAAAGCAATGAGATCTCGTTTCACCGACCAAAATAATTAAATAATTTCGATGGCACCGAAAATGGCGAAGGCTGAGTAGGGTCCTTTAAGCCCTTATTTACAAGTTTAAGTCTCTCTTACGTGATTTTTTTTTTTTTAAGATCACTCCCACCTTCCGCAGTCCCAGAAGGGTCTAGAAAGAGCTGGTCTTGTGACGCGAATATCACTATCACCAAGGCGGCGTTGCACGCATCGTGATCGTCCGAGAAAACACCTAGGCAACGCGCTGGATAACATTGGTAAAAATCACTTCGGAGGAATCAACTTGACAACAAGGCCTATAGGTGGTTTGCAACCATTCCTGAGATATTCAAATGACAAAGAACCTGGTGGACATATCATACGACTGAAACAATAAAGCTCATTAGAATTTTTTGCTAATGATGACCCAACATGGCGGCCATCACGTCAGTTGCAAACGATCTATATTGGACGATCTATATTGAGCAAAAACCCACAACGATAGATTTTTCACCTCTGCCTTTGGAGTTAAACGCTTACTATACATATATCTGAAGAGAGCATCTCTATTAAACATGTAATGCTTTTTTCGTTATCGACGTTGTCGTGGTTCATGAAGCTCGCTTCAGAAAAGAAAACAGCTATGAATACATAATTATGTAAGCCAACATTAACCATGTACTGTCAGTGTATACCAATAAATGTTGGAGCTGGAGGTTTGATTGAATATGGTATACATTTATTTCGCTTAGTATGTAGTTTAGTGAAGCTTTCATTTATCATTTGCACCTTAAAACCTCATAAGATAAGCTGCTACCGACTTAGAGTTTAAGTCTATGCGAATATTTATTTTCAGTCGTAGTCACAGTTGTCGCTCAACTCTGCGTCTTCCCAAGATATTCATTAGACAAGCGATAAATACTTCAAAATTAGCGTTCGAAGCAAAAAGCTGTCTGAAAGAGAACTGACGTCCAACGCAATATTCAATAAGTAATCGTAGTCAGGTGTCCCCAATTAGTATGCATTGTATGCTAGCGACTTCGACACGTTAATAAAGTTCTTATCTTTATCTTACCTTATCTTATCTTATCTCATCTTATCTTATCTTATCTTATTCAAGAACATTAAAACGCATATCATTTCATTACCAGCCTCTCAAAGTATCTACATCAATAGTTTTCGTATCTATTATCAGAAATCCCCATGATTTCCACACATTACCTATTTACGTCTATCCTGGCCAAATAAGGTCCTATATGAGTGCAACTTGAAAACTTATCAGCTGCCTTCAGGTTCAGTTTTTTTTTTGTTTTTTGTTTTTTGTTTTTTGTTTTTTGTTTTTTTTTCACACCAACGCATTTTTTTTTTATCCTTTCGTGCAGTGGCCGGGCTAACACCTGCCAGTTTTCGGTTGTAAGTTTAAAGATAAAAGTTGCTAGTCCCAGGTGCTACTGTTAAACATTGTTAGTTCTTAGTCGCAGTCCCTCCTGGGTTGGTTGAATCAATTCTTTGGAAGGGCGTGCGCTCGTGACGGCGCCAAAATTTTGTCTAAAATGTCGCCCTAAATGTTCCAATGGACATTTTTCTATTTTTTAATGATCTTTTTTCACAATATTTCCGAAGTTGTTTTAGGTTGCGGTGCAAGCTAGGTCATTTTCGGGGTCTTTCATTGACCATAGCTTTCAGCCGTTCAGTGTAAAGCTGTTGAAAAACGCAAATTAGATAAATGAATAGATTTACCTCCAGACATACACTTATTATTGATATCCACGACGAAATTACCTTGCCAAACTATGGTAAATTGAATTCTTCTTGAGTCAATAATTCTTTTTTTTTTTCCTTTTTTCCATTCTTTTTGTCGTTGTTGCTGTTGTTGTTTTGTTGTTGTTGTTGTTATCTGTTTGCAGATAATGTGTCTCCTGTCCTTTTGTTCAGATTCGAATTAACATAACGTCGCTTCTCTGTTGTAACAGAATGGATCTTAAAAACTGATATTCTTAGGCCATTTCAGGATGTCTGGTGAAGCGTAGGAAAAGTCAAGTCATTAATTAAAGTTTTTTACAACACGCTTTGTTTTATCATAGTTAGGTATTGTCATGTTCATATTGAACTGAAGTGTGATTACTATTTCTGTTAAGAGTGGATCTTCAACAAGCTTCCATTGGTATTGCATTTAACGAAGCGGAGCTGGTTCGGTCGTTGTTCTATCTTTCAGTAAACGTTACCGCAGTCTGAGTTCTCTCACGTGTTACAGAGACCAAGGGTAGAGAATTAAAGCGCACCCTTGTCGGCCAATGTAGTTGGCGCGTGAATGTGCGCCAGGCGCGACGGTAGTCCTGCTTGCAAAACGCACATAGAACGGGGTTTGCTAATGGAGGAACGAACCGAAGATAGAAAATAACACATAATCCCCATGCTGGAATAACGAGAAATTGTTCAGAAACGTGATCTTGAAGCATCAGAAGGAAAAACGGTAGCCAGCAGCTGATAAATATAAGCATCATGGCGACTAGAATGAATGTTCCACGCAAATCGTGAGCAATGGAAGCCACTGGTTGGTCCAGATTTTTCCGGCGTCGTCGAAATGCAATAATGTGCCGGAAAGAAACTGCCAAGACATGGCTGTACATGTATATCATCAACAGTAGAGGCACGAAAAAGAAAGCTATGATTATCAAAAGGAAATAAACTCTGTCAACTCGAATCGTCTCTTCTTTCAATTTCTTTAGCTCGTTGTTCAAATTGTACCAAGTGAACTGAATAGACGAGGACACTAATGCCAAGACCCAAATAAACACGATAATGCCAGTGGCCCGCGGTTTCGTTACAAGGGAAGGGTACTTCATGGAGTGTAAGATAACAGTATAGCGGTCACAAGCGATAACGAGAAGATGAAACACTGAAGAAATGGCGTTAAATCGCGCGAGGAGAACCGAGAGAGCACACTCCAAGAGAGAACTTTTGATGGAGCAAGCCAGAAAAAGCGGAATTCCGAGTAAACCAAACAACAGATCGGAAATCGCCAGAGAGAATAGAAACATGTTACTCACTGTCCTCAGAGCTTCTTTCCAAATCGTCAAAATGATTACAATGCAGTTTGCAGCCAAGATAAACAAAAAGTAGAAAATCAACGGAGCTTGGATTGGCCAATAGAACCCTCCGGTACATACAGAACCGGATCGTTGCTGTATGCTAGAGTTGTTCCCACGACTCGTGTCATTGGTCGGCAATAGTTCCCCAAGAGTTGCGTTGCCGAAAGACATGTCTGCTCCTCAGCACAAAATGTTGCCTTCGGGCCTTTCTGGAAGATTCTCTCTTTTTTAAACAGCACTTTAAGAACCTGCGACTTTTGAGAATAATCGACCGTCGTTACCGGCCGGTCGAACGTACAGCTATCACCCTGACACTCCGAAAACCTGGCTAGGGTTCTATTCAAACTTAATTAACTATATCTGTAAGTCCATAAGCGACAGCGACACTGGTTGTGGGGTGGCAAGTTTGAAAACCCGTCTTTGAAATCGGTTATTTTATACTCTACCCTGAAGGCGAGAAGGAAGTCGTTTTCGACAAATCCAACAGCGATCTATTTATATCTACCCGCTAAACCGGTAAATCAGCTGTCCAAAGCCAGTTAATTTCCCACACCTTCCTCAGTGGAACACGAAAAGTTGTTTACTCTGTTTTCGGTCAGCGTACCGCGTTTTTCAGATGTTTGAAGTCCCGGTTTACATTGTTAAAAGATGGGCTCTCTGGATTAAAGGAATTTCTCTTTTTCACTGTCAAAACTAGTGATCAGCTAAAAGTTTTGAAAAAGAAAATACAACATGTAATAAAAAGTTTGAATTACGCATGCAAATACCTAAGTATTTTGGATAATATCTCTTTATTTACTCCACTCAAATGGATTTTGAATACTGAATGTTTTAAAGTTATAAAAGTGTATCAAGCTGCGAATAGGAACCGAATTTTATAAAAGCGCTGCAAGCGAGTTTTCTGTGCTTCTAAAGAGAATCAATTATCTCTTTGGACTTTCTGTTTACATTCGGGGAAATTAAATCCTCCCCTTTGAAGGTAGCGGAACGCGTTTGAGCTGTGACCAATTAATTTAACTTTGCAATTTTACCGGATATTTTTAATATTGCAAGAAACAGCGTTATCTCGGTATTACAACCCGACAGTGTACTACAGAAACAATAATTTATTGATGATGCTACCGCACTTTGCTGTAATTAAAAAATGTTCGACGAAAGGCCGAAAAACAACTCGGCTTTTTTTCCGAGGTGCCACTGTTATTACGGTTTTTTTTTTTTGTTTTGTTTTGTTTTTTCCGAATTGCTTGACCCTTCCCGTCATTAATATTTTCAGCAAATAAACACGAAGATAAGTTTATCAACAACGACAAAGCTTTTAAAGTTTATCACTTCTTCATTGCAAATTGTCTTCTTCAAATTAACATATATGTTTTTTATCACAATTTTTCCAACATTCAATCTTAATGTCTCGACAAAATTCTCAACCTTTTAAGATAATTGCCTTGGGCTATTATCCATGTGTATAACTCCCAGCTTGAATTGTAAAATTTGGAAACGTTATTTAGATTCATTAGCTTTGACTCGATAAAATCCACAGGAATATAACATGAGCCATAATCAACAACTTTCAGCAATTTTAAGGATAATTTTAAATGAAAAAATAATAGTATCGAGATAGAAAGTAGCAGTTTGTTTTTTTTTCGTTTGTGAAAATCGAAATTTAATTTAATTAGCCATACTTCGTATGAAACCATATAGCAAATGCCGAATCTGATAAAATTACGCTCCAAAAAGATTTTTGTTCAAAGCAAAAAGGAGTCTTCAATTTTAAACCATTTCGGAATTATCACAGCTGCTTTGGTGTTATTTTCAAAAGTCTTTTTTCAACATGCGCTTGTAGATCACTTTGGCGCCGCTCGTTTTCAAAACGTCACGGCGAGTAACTCCCTCAAAACGTGCAAAGCAGCAATTCCGCCGGAAGATAACGACCAATAACATTTTATTTTCTTGATCCCGGAAAAGTTTACTGCGAATCCATTTCCTTATTTTCTGGCGGCAGAGACACCGACAATCACGAACAAAACAACAGAGTTACCGAGCATTCTCTGATTGGCTAGCTCATAACTTTCACAGCAGACCTTTAAATGCCACCGAGGTTTTCAGCGAAATGCTAAAGAAAATAAACTGCCCAAGACTCTGTGAGCTACATAGCTGTCCTGCACTTCAGTGGAGGTTGATCTTGTTTCGAGAATGACAAGTATGGCAGCATACCTTACCTTCTTTTAGCCCCTACGACATTTTCGCAAAACTCCTAGTTACCAAATTTTTCCCTGCTAAACTTGCATTAGTTCGCATTCTTTGTTACTTTTGCACATATATAAGAAACTAAATGTCTTAACAGTGAACTGGGGCTAAAAGCCTTTGAGCAGTAGCTGATACGAATAGAACTAGAAAAAGCCCGCTGAATTACCCAAAAGTTTGAATAGTTTGCCTGAATTCCATTCATGATACAACAACTACAAGCAGGTCTGAAAATTTTCATATTTGGAGAGAAAAATGGAAAACTCTTCCGCAAGCTCGTTATTTATTAATTGATATTTCTGAACTGAAAACTTCTGCTTTCAAGTAATGTTTACAAGGGTCGATAATATTTCCTGAGACGGCAGGCTGTGACTCGGTCCGTATAATGCAAAGTAGTTTTTCCTGTTACTTGTCGCACTTGAACAAAAAGCGTTTGTCGATTTCGATCTTGCCGTGACATTTGTTTCCCAACTCAAGCTCAAACTTCCAAGAAACTTTACAAAAGTGCGGCTTTTTTAACTTTGGATTGTGAGCTCACCTAGGTCAACAGAAATTGTATTGGAGTTGACGAACAAACTGTGACATTTGGGTGCTATGACATTGATCGACTGATATCAGTTAAATCACCAGTCGTCGGTTGGTTTATGATCTCCCAGGAGTTATACTGGGCTTTTAAAGGAATTAAGTACAATAACTAAGCGGGCGAGAGCCTACTACGCTTGAATGTATTTAGATATCAAGTGAAGCGAAGTGCCATCAAGGAGCACCGCATTGACCTTGTCTAGTTTGCTCAGTGGTCGACCTCGAAGCTATTACCAAAGAGCCAATTGTTAAGTATTAGTTGTAGCAAGCATACTATTATTCAGTTTGCTTCCGAGTTCGAAGTTACTTGACAAATGTGATTTATTTTCGAGAGGACAGAATATTCCACATGCTTTTGAAGGCTAGAAGAATAATTTGCACAATGTAGGCAAGGAATAGAAAATAATTTGAAGCAGGTTTCCGAATAAATACGTGAAAAAAGAAAACAAGTTTATTGGGAAGTGTTTCAACAGAAATGAAAATTACATGTAAATATCAATATTGCATTTGTATTTTTCAGTAGCTTTCAACTCTTTTTGCAGATAATATTTTTCCGAAATAAATTTTCATAATGTCGGATACAACTTGCACGTTCGCTAAACTGAGATTCACTATGGAAGGTAAATATCAACAATGCTAATCTTTAGACGCTTATAATACCTGGAGGTCTTTATGCTAAAAACAGGATATTTACAAAATTAAGGCAGAATTAATTCCAGTGGAATCCGGCGGCATCTTGACTCCTGTAAAACGTACACGTTTCAAATGGAATTGCGAAACAAAAAACTCAAAGCTTGCGGATGAAAATGCGAAATACTGAGCTGAATTTAAAAGGAGCTACACCAATCAGAGCGCGCGATATATTGAAACTTTATTTAAAATGATCTTAAACCAGCTCTTGATCTTATATGAGATGTAATGAGGCGGTGTAGTGCTTAGTTCGGAGGTAGAGTATTTTAAATAGTGTGGGCAGAGGGTCTGCGTTTTTTCACATGTTATTTCCACTCTTCACTGAGAAAGTGGATTATTTAAAACAATTGATATGCAGTTTGTGATGAAGTTTTGCTTGGTTAGATATGTCTGGGGGGGAAATACATTTCGAGAAAAGACCTTTCGTCTACCGGTGATAAACATCTCTTAGTTTGTATATTAACCTTGGCAGTCTGGTAATTGTTTTAATAAAATATCAAAATGGCTATGAGTTAACTTAATTTGAAAAACAAATCGCCTGTGAACAGTGGCAATTTCGAATCCACAGCATTGAGCTCTAGACAGGAGAAAAGTCAGTTAAAACTTACTGGCATTATTAAGAAATTAATAGGGCAGAACGCAACGCTACCAGTATTCGAAACATTCATGAATTCAACCTTGTCTTAGATGGTACCACAAGGAAAGTGCCGGCTCTCGTCTCATCACCCAAGCTAAGCACTTTAGCGGGCGCGGGCGGGGGGGGAAGTACTTGGATGCGTGACCATATCAGTATCTGTGTCCACTGTCTTGATATCTTGCGATGTCCATTTTAATTGCCTTAAAAGTCACCGACAAGTCACCGGCTGGATATGGCTACGATGTCATGGTCACCTTCAAGTAAAGTAATGTTTTTGCCAGACCAATTGAGAGGACGTTTTAAATATAGAATTCATGCACAGCTCTGAGCTAAATATTGAGTGCCCGTTTTTGAGGTTAAAAGGTGTCCAAACCTTCCCGCCAAAACTTAATTGGCGGGCACTTGTCAACCGAGCGGTGTTTGCCGGCATTCCTGAAACTTTCTGTTTCTAAAATGGAGCCGGAGTTTCCAGATTTCTTGTTACATTTGACTACGTTTCCAAACAAACTAATCAAGACAATGCCTGATGACGCAAAAGTTTTGACAAAAGTTTTGACGACCAAGAAAAGATTAAGTTCAAGCCGAACTACACAGTTTGCGCTACGCGTTGTATGCGTTGGCAGCATATTAGACTCGTTTGGTCTCGCCATGGTTATTTTGGCGTAAAAATTGAAAATGGAGTTTTTCGAAAACGATGACATTACGATGATCGTGTGATTTCCCTGTCTGAGTTTACCTCAAACACAAGTCCAAAATGACCTATGATTATTGCGATTTCAAATTTCTCCGGCGTAGTGTGGACGGAGAAACATTTGATGCGTTTTCAGAGTGAAACCTCCGTTTTCAAATTTATACGGCGTAGTGTGGACGGAAAACACTTGATGCGTTTACAGAGTGAAACCTCCGTTTTCAAATTTCTCCGGCGTAGTGTGGACGGAAAACATTTGATGCGTTTTCAGGGTGAAAACGCCGTTTC